CTTGTAAATAACCCATATTTTTGGTTAGTAGTTAAATGTATCTAACAAGATGAAGCGACAACGCGGATTGAAAGAACACACAATACAAATAATACCTTAATGCCTAAAAGTTCAWAAAAAAAAAATAGTTTGCAAGACAAACTACATAATGAATGTGTAAGCTATTTGAATAATGAGATTAATTTAGGACAATTTTTAAATAATATAGCTTAGTGTACTAAATAGTCGTTTATATTAAATTTATTAACTATTATTTTATTTATCAACTATTTTGTATGAACTTATTTGTGTGTTTAGTTCATTTTTATTTCTAACATAATTTTTTTGTTTTCTACGTATTATTTAAATTTAAATTGTAGACGATGGTTAATTATCAAAACTATAAATAAACATTGTAATAATATCTCGTGGAATAAGAGCGCAAGAAATAGGTACATCACAGATTTGGTGACATGATCCCTTTTGGCTGTCTCAAGCAGACGATTGCTGGATTCAAAATCCCATACAACCGGTATTAGAAACTGAACTTCCTGAACAGCGACCATTGCGTTTAGCACTAATAACAAAAAACCCTATCAAAGACTTGATCAACAGCTTTTCTAGCTGGCTCAAACTTATACGTGCAGTTGGATGGATCGCAAAGTTCATTGAATTTTTACTTCAAAGGGAAGAAGGCCAACAGTGAAGTACCTCACTGTTCAAAATATCAAAGCAGCTCAAAGAACTATACTCCAAGTGGTGCAATAAGAAGGTAAAAAAATAGTTGCAYTACTACAGCATAATAATGTGCCCCACCGCAGTAAGTTGAAGTCTTTAAATCCCTTGTTAAAGAACGGGTTATTAGTCGTGGGAGGCGGGTTAGAGAACGMTGCGATCTCAGAGGATCAGAGGACACCAATTATTCTACCAGCTGACTATAGAGTGACTCGTCTGATTTTTACAAACCGTCATCTGATTCTACTACATTGTGGCCAATCAGCTCTCGTTGGTGACTTAAGACATCAATATTGGCCTTTACGTGGAAGGCTTACAGGAAGATCGGTAGTCAAGCGTTGCATTGACTGTGTTCGAGCAAACCCGAAGTTCCAACATCCTCTCATGGCACCGTTGCCTAAAGAAAGAGTCACCTGTACCCGTCCTTTCAGCAATACAGGCGTTGATTTCGCTGACCCATTAACAATTCGTAGTGGATTTCGTGGGAGGCCAGGTAAAAAGGCCTGGATAACAATATTTGTCTGCTTTTCCACCAAGGCAGTACATATAGAGGCTGTGGAGGACTTGACATCTAGTGCATTTATTGCCATACTACGACGATTTTGTTCTAGGAGAGGAAAACCTAATAAGATTTGGAGTGATAACGGCACCAACTTTGTTGGAGCAAGACGAGAACTGGCAATATACACTAAGGACATTGAGTCACAATCAGCAAATGAAGGCATCAACTGGCATTTTAAACTCGACATCAACTGCACACTTTGGAGGAATTTGGGAAAGCTGTGTAAAAAGTGCAAAGCACCAATTAACAAGAATTGTCAAGAATACATACTTAACACTGAGCGAGCTTCAGACACTACTGTGTCAAATTGAAGCATGTCTAAATTGACGCACTCTTTCACCATTGAGTAGTAGCCCAAAAGACTTGGAGCCTCTCACTCCTACTCACTTTTTAATAGGGGGTCCAATCACATTGCCTCCAGAACCAGATTTGACTTCACAGCAAATAAGCGGATTAAGACGGTGGAGACTAGTACAAGCTCTCATGCAGACATTTTGGAGTAGGTGGACCTCAGAGTACCTCCCTCAGATTCAGGTGACGGGGAAATGGACAACTGCATCTAAAACATTGGCAATTGGAGAGGTCGTGATTGTAAAGGAAGATAATATGGCTCCATACAAGTGGAAAATGGCTCGCATAATATGTTTACATACAGGCAAAGATGGTCATACCCGAGTAGTCACCATACGAACAGCAAATGGAACAGAGATCAAAAGACCAGTAATCAACTTATGCTACCTTCCAGTCGAAAAAGAATTGGAAAATAACTGAAAATCACCATTTTCAAGGGGGGAGAATGTTTACGCCTGGATTACATGGCGAGCCTCCACTGTGTATTTCACCATCGACCGACACACAYTCACACACACACCAACAAATATACACACCTACAMTCACCACAACACACTAGCACTCTCTGGTTTTGCTCGACGACCCCGTCCACTTCCTTTGAGTCGCTACACACACATACCTACCTTTACACCTTTACCATATACAGCGCAC